TGCAATCATTTCTCAGACTTATTTCCCCATCTGTGATGACCTAGACAGTTTAGGAGGACACCGGACACGCACTTTGCTGAATGTCTCTCAGTTGGGATTTGCGTAATCATTATTATCTTTTCATGCCTAGACTGGGAACGGGTTTCGGGAGGGAAGACCACAGATGTCAGGTGCCATTCTCACCCCATCGTATCGAGGGCACCTGCTTACTACCCACGAGATGGATCACGGTTGGTGTCAGCCTGGGTCACCTGGCTGTGGCGGGGTTTGCCAGGTTTCTCCAATGGAAAGTTCTTCTTTTTTTTTTTTTCTCCTCCCTTTCCACATTGTACTCTTTGGAAGAACGTCACCATGTGTGGCACATGCTTAAGGGGCGGAGTAGCTACAGGCATTATTTAGAATTCTTCTGCATAAGACATTTGTCTGTTCACCTTTTTCTTTTTTTAATTAAAGTGCAGTCAGTTACATGTGTCAATTTCTGGTGTAAGGCACAATGTCCCAGTCATGCATGTACATACATATATTCATTTTCATATTCTTTTCATTAAAGGCTATTAGAAGATACTGAACATAGTTCCCTGTGCTATATACAGAAGGAAATTTTTAAAAATCTATTTATGTATATAGTGGCTAACGTTTGCAAATCTCAGACCCCCAAATGTATCGCTTCCCACCCCCTTTCCCCAGGATCTGTTCACCTCTTTGCTCGATCACTTCTTTGTGTTGTGATGAACTCATGGGCATTGATTTTATACTTCGGGTTATGCATAATATTACTCTATGCATTTTCTTGCTCAGCCAGCTTTGACCATTTCTTTCAGTTGGTTCCTGTATCCCTTTAACATATCCCATCATTATGGAGGGTTTTTTTTTTTATGAGCATTTTTTTATTTTCTGACGCTCCTAGACTCTCCAGGCTGATTTGGTATATTTCCTGCCCCAGCAGAAAGAACCATTTTTTTTCCAAAGAGTCATTTCTTTTTACTGGAGAATATCTTGTCATTAAGAACAAAGTTCTGGGCACTAGGTGTGCTCATAGCTTCTAGGGTATCATGGCTTCTAGGTTCTCTCAGTTGACAGAGAAAACAGACATATGTGTAAATACTAACCTGCATGTATGCACATATCTATGAATATTTCTGAGTTCATCTTATCATTCATCCTGGGATTCCTTCAAACTCTTCAATGATTCTTTTAAAAACCTGTAAATATTGAAGTTTACTCTTCGGGCTGTAAATTTCCATAACCGATAAATGCTTGCCATCTTGTACTCATTCTTACAGTATAATCCAGAACAATTTCACCACTCTAAAAAATTCTCTGTGTTTCTCCTACTCAACTGCCCCCCTTCTCCTTCAAACTCCTGGCAACCACTAATCTGTTTACCATCTCCATAGTTTTGCCTTTTCCAGAATGTCGTCTAATCAGAATCTTAACACTGTGTAGCTTTTTTAGACTGGCTTCTTTTATTTAACAATATGCAATTAAGATCTACCCACGTCTTTTGAGGGCTTAATGGCTCAATTCTTTCACTCCCTGAATGATATTCCATTATATAGACGCACCACAGTTTATTTACTGAAGAGCGTCTTGGTTGTTTCCAGTTTGGGACAATTATAAACAAAACTTCCATCCACAGGCATACTTTTGTGTGGACATACGTTTTCAAACCCGCTGGGTAAAGGCCTAAGAATGTGATTGCTGAACTGTAGGGTGAGATGACTAGTTTTATAGGAAACTGCCAAGTTGTCTCCCAACGTGGCTATACCATGTTGCACTTCCACCAACAATGAACGACAGTTCTTGTTGCTTTGCATCCTTACCAATTTGTTGCTGTTGGTTTTGGGGTTTCAGGCCCTTTTAATAGACATGTAATGGAATGTCATCATTTGAATTTGCAATCTCCTAATGACAAATGGTGTTGAGTATCTTTTCTTCTGGTTAGTTGCCATCTATATTCTATATTCTTTGGTGCGGTCCTGTTTTTACCTTTCACTCATTTTTTAAATTAAGTTGTTTTTTTAATTGTTGCGTTTTATGACTTCTTTGTATCAAGAGCTTGTGGGTTGAGTTTGGATGCCGGTTCTTATTAGGTTTATGCTCTGAGCTCAATGCTACTGGCCTAGAGGTATCTCAAAATGTCCACCATAGAGCCTGGAAACAGGAGGTTCTTAACACATGTTGGATGGATGGACGAAGCAAGGAATAAATGACGTGGTATGGAAGACTCTTCCAGTGGTTCCTCTGGGGACAGCTGAAGTGCAGAAGTAACATCCTTAGGAGCTATGAACCTGGGGACGAGCAGCACAGACTCACGAGCCATGAAGTGGCAGCAGATAAACGGAAAGGATGGCACAGCTACCATGAACACTGGTGTCTACACTTAGCGAGCGTAGTCTTGAGTTGAGTTGGTATCGGCACCAAAGCAATATGGCGGAGAACACTCATGAAACATCACCATGTCCCACGCACCGAGCCAGGTAGGGTCTTTACAGATGCTCTTTCCAACCCACACAACAGCTGCAAGGGACTCTGCAGAATTCCAGGTGTGCAGATCAGCAAACCAGGGCTCAGAGAGCAAAGTGTCTCCTTCCCAATCTCTTCGTTTCAAAGAAGCAGCAGAGCCAAAACTAACCGTGCCGGGGTAAAGCAATCTTGAGCCACATCACTCCTTTCATCCACATTTAGTGTGAGGACAGTACACTGTACAGCTCCCTGCTTTTATTCAGTCAGCACTTACAGACGCCAACTCCAGGGATCTCACAGGCACATCGTAGACGTTAAGAAACTGGCAAATGTATTTCCATGTCTGGGAAAGCTCAGCCCTAATCTTAGTCTGTTAATCCACTGGTTGGTCAGCCAGCGGGCATGACGTCCAGGTAGAACCGAGCCCTTCACAGCAGACACAGCGAAGGGAGAGACCTATTTCCGGCCACAGGAACCTCATGCTTTCCTGGGGAGTCTAGCATGTACATCCTCCACCCCCCCACCAGGAATGTCAATGAATCTATTAAAAATCAGTCAGACAAGTGATGACAAGTGATACTTGCTACATAGATTTATCTATATAGGCATTGACTCAGTGTGATGAAAGCTGTGGAGCCCTCAAGCTCTTCGATTGCTTAAGCAGTCATTTATACAACAAATCCTCATCAGGAACTGATTTCCACTGTCCAAGTCATCACCTTAAAAAAATAAAAGTAACATTTCTATAGCATTTTACCGTTTACGTAGGCCTCGCAAATGCATTACCTACTTTGCAAGGTAACTAGGGCAGGATTTATTGTTGTACCCATTTCAAAGCTTTGTATACTGAGGCTCAGATAGGTAAGGAGATTCGTCCAAGCTCACGCAGTTAGTAAGCCAAGGTCTGTCCACTCGCTTGCCATTCTCTTCACTGCCTTCCTGAACCCAAAGCTCTCACCCTCTAATCTTTTCTCTCTATCCAATGTAATTTGCATTTCCCCAAGGCACTGAGAAGGTAATGATGAGAGTTTCCTTTTCGTCTCTTGGAGCTTCAAAACTAGAAGACTTTCCAAGGGGTGCTTGGTAATTTCCTTCTCCTGTATCCAGCAAAGGGAGATGGCACTTGTCCCAAGGACCAGAGCTGATACAGTCCACCTCTCAGTTGTAGAGCATCTGCAAACTCTGCGGCTGCCCCAGCCTGGCGGGTCTGTCTCTCTCTGCATGGAAAGCAGGGAGGCTCAGGAGCCTTCCCAATGCGGTGGCCAGGGCATCTCCTCTGGACCCCTTAGCACAAGGCAAGTGGATCGGCTTGAACTCTAAAGCTCTGTGGTCTCACCCCATTCCCAAGACACCCACAAGCCAACCCCTCAGTTCTCACCCTCTAC